AAGAAGAGAATGAGGACGAGGTTGATCTAGAAAATACAAGAGATGGAGCCACTACCACTACTTTGCATGTTTGTGTTTGTTTAGAGTTTGACATCGTTGTGCAGCAAAGAGACTAACGGTACAAAATTGTGCTACCCCGTTCGGTTCAAAGGGAGTGCGAGAGGAGCAAACCAGCTGGTGGTTGGCAATCACGAGGTGAACCTCCCGGACTCGCTAGAACGAGGTAGACGTAGAATCCCCTTTTAATTTTTAGCTTATTCTTTTGTGTCATCCCATGTCTACATCGTACTGCACATCGGCCTCCGTTCGCATCACAAGAGCGATTGGACGTAGCCAAGGAAATGCTCCTGACGTTGGACGCCGAAGATCAAGAACGGATAAAGATCACCGACACAAAGTATCCGGAACTGCTAGCCTTGCATCAACTCGCCAAGGACAACTTGGAAACAGCTCAAAAGCGATACGAAACAAACAAGAGATACCTAGACAAATTCACCAGTGCAGCGTCAACGAGCTAAAAACAAGTAGAGCACTCGTCTTTTTCAATCTTATCGCAGATTCTGCCACGGCAACTACCAGAAAAGTTGCCCGACCTTGTCACGTCTCCTCAACGTCCCGGGATATACAAGTGTTGATTGCTTTGGTAGTGCTTCTGTATTGCTTCTATTCTACGCGTTGCGTATTGAAGAAGTAACAGTCCCAACCAATGTCAGATAGTGGATGGTACCCTGCCAATTTTTAACGATGTCTACTGGAACCTACTGGCATGCCCTGACATCTTGAACCGTTGCTACTTCCTCGTCGTATCGTGTATGCTTCAGATGCTCCTTTGTTGGTCCTGGGCATCGGTTCGCGAGACCCAGAGGTAGCCGGATGTCTTTTATGGATCGAAAGCCTCCTCCCTCATTGACCATCACCATAGCACGAAAGGTTTCAGGTTGGAAGAGGAAGGATTTGCCTCGTGGCTGAAGAGCTTCTCAAAAATCCACAAGTTCAAGTTTGCACTGTTTCATGGTGTCTCTACGGAAGCCAAACCTGAACCCCACCGGTCCAAAGACCCAGCAAACTAGCGACCGGCAGGGATCCAAACCTCCTCGAAACAGAAAGCAAGTCTCATTGGCAATGCATACCCCGTGCTAGGTTATACGTAGTTTGTGGCAGTCTTTGAAGCTCTCGCGAGACTTGCATGCACGGTTTCCGGCACCGATATGCACATCCATCATTCACGCAGTACGATGTACCGGATTAGCATTAGGCAGGTTGTCAGTGGTTGCCACAGTCGCAGCATTCAGGTGCCAAGATGAGCTCGTTCCCATCAGACTTCGAGCAGCGAAGTTTGTGAAACGATGCCAGGGGACGCACAGGTTCTCTAAAACTGGCTTGCAGCTGTGCGGATTTGCAAACGGAGGGAGGCCCTGGAGTGCCAGCTTTGACCTGTCAATCTGTTCCTGGAAAGCGACATCGGAATGAAGTGGACTGGTTAGTGGTAGCCAGCCCGAGCTGGCTTGGTGGATATCCATCATCTTGACTGCTGTTCTCATCCAAGACATAGAAACTTGCTTGCAAATGCATCTGTTGCTTTCAGAGGCCCATAGAGGCCCAACAAGAACTGCTGAATGAGCCAACTCGGTCCAGCTACTAGGTAGCAATACTCGAGTAAAGTGCAGCTACCGGTAGAGCCCAACAGCCACGGGTGAAGGTCCGAAAGATGTGGCAAATTCAGGTGCGCTACAATGTCATGTACTGTAACATGCTGCTGGTAGAAGTCTAGCAGAGCTAGGAATCGAATCGAATCGAATCTACTCTACTACTTGTACAGCTGTACTGTATCAGCCACTGTAGCACTGTAGCTCCTACCGCACACCGCACCACCTACCAGAGCAAACAGCGACTGAAGTAGTTTTTACTAAAAGGCAGGGCTACTCGGCTCGTAGAAACCGGTGGCACTGGCGAATGATAGCTCGAATGATTATGTACCTACTGTATGAGCTAGACTACGTACCGTATGTTTTCATGTATGTTTTCGGAGTTTTTTGGGCTTGTTGCGTGGTGGTGCTGTTCTACGTGCTCCTTCTGCTCCTCCTGCCTTTCTTTCTGCTGCCGCGTTTTGCTGGGAACAGCTAGTACTAGTAGCTCATCACGCGGTTGGCTACCATTGGTCATTCAGTGCCCTCAAGATGAAACCTCAGCGGCTGTTTCGGGATCAAGTAATAAAGTTTCAGTGAGGCAATTCTGGGTGGCTGCGCTTATATCGAATAATCGCCATCTTGATTCAGCTGTCATCAACGTTAAAACACAACGATGCGTATCTGTTAAAAGGAACCTTTATCGATAGATCCAGGGAGCTCCAATCTCCGATCCTTTCCACTATTTTGACCAGCAGAAGACCCCAATTTTGATTGTGAACAGCTTTGTGAACACCGATTGGAACAGCCTGCAATCTTTCTTTTTTGAGACGACTAAGCTGGTTTTAAGAGACTTTCCCTGAGCTTTGGCCTCTTCTTGTTCAGAGGTCATTGATGTAGAGCATGAGTAACGCAACATGACTCTATGAATCTAATGATCTTCTCCAGTTTGTCATGGTAGGAAAGGTTCAGTAGAGATTGCGTGAGATAAAACAGCAGATAACTCTGATAACTCTCTGAGACCCTTCTGTGGCTCTTTATCATTTCTCAATTGCGACCAGAAGTTATTGTGCTCTGACTCCACAATATTTTACACGTGTGGAGTTGTTGCGCGATCCTTTTCGCCTGCGTTTTCCGATTTGGCCAGTGGGCCTCCAGACTCCAGAGCATCTCATTTCTATCTGGTACTGGTACCAGTACGAGACCCTACTACATATAGCGAGCGATTCGATTCGATTCGAGGGATAGTAAACGAGATCGAAAGAAACTCCGGCAGCACGATGTAGCACCTTCCAAGAGCCTTCTCGCATCGTTGTACTAGCTAGCTAGCTAGTAGTACCGTGAGGTAGCAGGAATTTGATGGAGCCCAAATCAAGAACTCGAGCTGCTCACAATTTGCATTTTGGTCTGTTTCATCAGGATCTTAGTTTTCCGATCGTTTCATCTGCTCTTTCATCAAAATGCTATCTTCTGATCCATCAACCTCTCCCATGGCAACCTTCATGAAGCAACTCTTCCAGGACTCGCAGATCGACCCAATCCGCGTGAAGCTAGCTCAAGACCCCGCCGTAAGGACAACCAAGAAACGCCGCAAGGCACCCGTCAAGCAATGCAGTGCTTCCTGCAGCCGATGGGTCAGCATTCCAAGTCGAAAGTCTCTTGGTTTGGACGACGACGAGGAGGAGCAACTCCCGTCTCCTGTAACGTCTGCCATTGACATGATGAGAAGAGGTCGGGAGCGGAGGTGGCGGGATGCGCCGTCTTCTTCTTCTTCTTCTTCTCCTCCTCCCCCTGCTCCGCTGCTGAGGCGATGTATGTCCGACATGGATGCCGGCGTCTTGTCCAGAAGTCCAAAGAAGTGCGCTTTCGAGCATGGTCCTAGATTGCCCGTACGAAGATCCAGCTCTCAAAGTGACATCCAACAAATGAGGTCAAGGCTGGACCTGTCGCTGCGACTGCAAAGGGACCAGGAAGAACGCGACTCCAGAAGGCCAGCGCCCAAGTTTGACTCTCCAACACTGCCCAAACGAACCTTTAGCGGTGGCCCTGGAGGACTCAGCTTGGTCTGAACCAATGAAGAAAGAAGCGAGTAACATTTTGGGATAAAGCATAGTAACCGCTACATATGCATTCACTTCTAATAGCACCTACAGTAGCAGCAACTGGTACCTTCACGGTCTCCATGCATTGGATGCAACCAAGCAGCACTCTAACTGCACCAGTATCGGTGCCGTTAGGAACTCCAGCGTTGCAGGCCTACAATAGCTACTAGACTATGTACCGGTAGCAACATTTCCGATGGCAGCAAGTTTCTCTTTTTGACATGGTTTTTACAAGAGCTTCACTTTATTCCTAGCAAAGAAGTTCTGAATTGATCATCCAGTCAGCTCTGCCTTGGCAGTCTATACCGCCGTACTCTACATTCGAGTGGCCCTCTACGACAACTGAGTGGCGGCCGGAATGGTATCCTGTTGTTCTCGTCCTCCTTGGCCTGGATCATCTCAATCTTGTCCATGATGAATGCATTTTGAAAGTTCTCCTGTTCCTTGACACGGGGGCTCTTGGTGGTCTCGTACACGCCAGTGCAGACATCATCAATCATGTCATGCAATAGAAAGACGGAGTTTGCAGGTGGGTCGTTGTTCGTCTGGGCTCGATCAGTTCCTTCATCAAGACGTTCTTGGAACTTTTCAACGACGTCATTCTTGACTGCTGGTGCCACATTCGTAGCCTTGATGGCCAGATCTTGTGCGTCCTTGGGAATAGCATCCTGGATCTTTTCGTCGTAGCCTTTTCCTCTTGCATTTTTCGTCGGTGGCAACCTTTTCATGGACATAATCACGGCCTGTTCAAAGAAACTAAGGTCTTGTTCGTTTTCAATGCGGAAGGAGCCATGGTGATGTTAGTTTTGTGTGTTGTACTGATCTCTTCGTCTGCGTTTCTGGTCTGTATAGTTTGCTTTTGGTGTGTATCTCTTGTGGTTTGATTTTGTGAACAGCGGTCTGCCCCCCTCGAAGAGATTGATCATCGTCGGTTCCGCTTGGGGATTTCTGAGTTTCTTTCATGACTGGGAGGAGCGTTCACAGTTCCGCCGTAGATGCAACAAGATTCGGAAGGGTTTTGCTGAAGAGCCAACCAAGGGACTCGACTCCCATCTTTCCGGTGCGCCATGATGGGAGGGTCGTTTGCTCCTACAGCACCGTGCGGGTACCTCCCGAGTCCATGCTGTCCCTGGACAACCATCCATACAAGGAGTCGATCGGCACTCAGGGCTCATGCTAAAGTAGTTCCAACAAGCAAAATGAATAGAAGAAGACCAAAGAGTAACTCTATTGAATAAAAACGCCTTGCCTTTGGTTGGCCATCTACATTACGAATCATTGTTTGACGCACTACTAATCATCTAAAGTAACGCTTGTTGGCTGTGCATTCATTCATCCTTGTCTTCTGACACAACCTCGGGGACAATCTCTGGAATCACTTCTGCATCTTTTGGTGTGGATGCATCCTCGTTTTGTGCCTTGACTTGATCGTTCATCAATGACATGACACGTTGGGCAAATCCCTTGACATCCCCAACATTGTACCCTGACGTCATGCTGGCCACATCGTACATGAGTAACGCCGAGTTCTCCAGGTCCTTGGACTCCTTGTCTTCCTTGACCATTCGATCCAAGTCTTGCACAATGGGATGAGTTGGGTTGATCTCCAACACTGCCTGATTAAAGTTTCCCATGCCCGCAGCATCCTGGCCCGACGCCACTGCCTGGGCCTTCATGTAACGCTGCATACTGGGACTCATTCCGTAGGCACCTTGCACCAGAGCTGCTGGAGAATCTGTGAGCAAGTCCGAAATGACTACCTTTTGGACCTTGCCCTTGAGGATTCCTTCCAGGTATTCCTTGACAACCTTGAATTCTTCTTCGAGTTGTTCCTTCTTTTTCTTGGTTTCTTCGTCATCTTCCCCATCCAACTTTAAGTTTTCCTTGGCTGCATCCACAATATCCAACTCCTTGTACGATCGTAGCGATTCAAACATGATCTCGTCCAAGGGTTCCGTGGCAAGCAAGACATCATATCCACGGGATGCCAACTTTTCCACCACGGGCGACATGGCCGCCAGTTCCTTGCCATCACCCGTCACGTAGTAGATTTGCTTTTGTCCCTCGGCCATGTTCTCCACATAGTCATCCAAACTGGTGTATTCCTCTCCCGACTTGGAACTCCAGAATCGCAGCAGTGGGGCTAATTCCTTGCGATTGCGGTCATCTTCCACCACTCCCACTTTGAGGTACTTGCCAAAGTTGTTCCAAAACATGATATACTGTGCGGCATCCTCTTCGGCAATATCCCGAATCATGTCCACCGATTTGCGCACCAGTCGCTTGTTGATGATACTCAAGACTTTGGACTTTTGGAGAATCTCGCGACTGACATTAAGGGGCAAGTCATCGGAATCTACGACTCCCTTGACAAATTTGAGCCATCGGGGCATGAGGTCTTCAAAGGCGTCATTGATAAAGACGCGCTTGACGTAGAGGCGAATGTTGCGCGAGTTCTCGTCAAACATGTCCTTGGACAATTCAAAGGGAAGCATTCCGGGAATGTACAAAATGGCCTTGCATTCGACTTGTCCTTCCAATACAAAGTGTGTGTGTTTCATGGGTTCATCGTAGGACGCCTTGAATGCGGAGGTATAAAAGTCCTTGTATTCTTCTTCCGTAACCTCCTTGGGTGATCGTAGCCAAATGGGTTTTTGATTGTTGACCCGTTCGTATCCCTCCTTGGTTTCCGGCACGGTTTTCATTTTGGGTTCTTCTCCTTCGGGTAGATCCTTGTTGGCTTCCTCATCGGGCACTTGCTTGTACTCCGTGGTTTCCTTCCAGACACTAATGGGGAATTCAATGAATTCGGAATATCGTTCCAACAATTCTTCAATTTTGGAAGATTCCAAGTATTCATTGGCATCTTCCTTGAGATGAAGAATGAGACGAGTGCCACTGCCGTCAATTGGATCATCGGACTCCGAGTCTTCTTCAATAGTGTAGGACGAATCGGCAGTGGACGACCATTTGTACTGTTTGGATCCTTCTTGCATGGACTTGGTAATGACTTCAACCTTTTCCGCGACGAGATAGGAGGAATAGAAACCCACACCGAATTGTCCAATGAGATTGACATCGGCATTTCCTTGGCCGAGTGCCTCGACAAATGCCTTGGTACCGGATTGGGCAATTTTCCCGAGATTGTTCTTGAGTTCCTCCTTGGTCATGCCGACTCCGGCATCTTCAATGATCAATATATTGTCGTCTAGATTGGCCTTGATTTTGATTTCCGGAGTGGCGGCGGAAGCCACGTCATTGTCGGTAATGGAGAGAAATCGTTTCTTGTCACAGGCATCGGCTGCATTGGAGATTAATTCTCGAAGGAAAATGTCCTTGTCAGAATACAACGAATTGATAATCAAGTCCATCACGCGGCCCACGTCGCTCTAATTTTTTTGTACAAAGAAAACGAAGGATGAGTTCAATTAATATAAAAGAGGTCGGCAGAAGTGATATCTGGATTCAAATCTTGGTGGGTAGCATTAGACATACCGTGAATCTGGTTTTTAAAATAATCAGAATAGTAAAAAGCCAAAGAAAACACATGGGATTGAGGACCAACATTTTCGCGTAAAGTGGGAGGAGGGGTAGCATGTGTTCCTGATTGACTTACTCAAAGGTTTCAGCTTCCGTAGCAGCTTCAGTACTCATTCGGAGAGGCTTGGAAGTGAACGTGTTGACACCAAAAGCATTTCGTTGGGTGCTCAGAGAGGGAGGCAAAAAGGCTGACGAACCACCCAAAAGGGCGGACGACAAAGCCACCAGAACGGCAGAGCTGTGGAACTTCATCTGGAAAGCAAAGAACAAAAGAAGAAAGAAAAGAGGATACCAACTAGACTAACTGTGGAAAAAATTATGAGCTCTCGAATCGAATCAATCTAAGATCTTCTAACCACAGCCAACCAAGCAAGAGGGTTTGTTTTCGATGGCTTTAGAAATTCAAATTGGTCGGAGTGGATCTATTCCATCAAGCAATGGCCACAAGAGAAAGATCGTCAAGTAAGTGATGGTGGTTTCTGTGATTGGATGGTATCGGCGTTTTGAAAAAAGATACACGTGGAACAAAACATCACAACACTCAGATGTTCCGATTTCGATGGAATTGTAAAGCCACCAGATTAGGGTTAAGCGTTAAAAAGGGGGTGACGTGTTCCGTGGGAAAAGCTCAATCGAGATTGCCGCCAATGACTGATGTGGTTTGTCTTTGGTTGCCACATGAAGAGAGAACTGACAACAGCAATGATGTTTGTTTGTTGCAGAAGCTGATTCATTGATTCAGTCAACGTTTCTTTGGGGTAAGCAGAGTTGCATTAGTTGGAAGACCCATCTATCATATCTGAGAGTGGAAAGAAAGAAACAAATAAAACGGCAGCCATGTTCTCCCTCCGCAAAATGATCGCCATGGCCACACTGTTGGTGGCATTGCTTCTGTCCCAATCTTCCACCAATGCATTTGCGCCAGTGTCATCCGTTTCCAGCCAAACTACACGCGCGGACACCAAGCTGTTCTTCTTTGGAGGTCCCAAGGACGATGGATCCCCTGGCGATTATGTTTGCTTGGTAAGCTGCTGAGAGGTTAAAAGAAGAAGAATGAGATGGAAATATTCTTTTGGATGGTCTGAAAGCTCATTCATTTTCTCTTGTCCTTCCTTTTTTCGGCAATGTTCAGGACTGTGGATGGGTTTTTACCAAGGGTCCCAAAGCTTGGGCTGACCTTCCGGATAACTTCAGTTGTCCCCCCTGTGGTTCGGTCAAGCGACGATTCAAGAAAGTGCCCAAGGGATCAGCCGGGAAAGGGAAATAAGCTTAGTTTTTACTGATGCGAACGGTATCAGACTGGAAGGAAACGCTTTAATTCAAGTTGCTGAGCGGAAAATGGCGAGAGGATAATATGCATTCAATCAGCTATGATGCGATTATACCCCTCGAAACGCAACAACTAACCTAGCTACACAATAGAAACCACAATACGCATTTAGGAAGATCTAACTAATACCTGTGCTTCAGTTATTAGACAATAGCTAGCTAGATAGATCCCTGGCCAAGTTACGGGAACCTACAGATGTGAGCATTGTACCACGTAGGACTCTTGAAAGCAAAGAAAAGTTCAAACTCAGTCTCATGCTATTACGCAGTTGCAGTGGTTTTTGTTGAGGTAGAATGTGGGCAGAAACTCTTCCCGAATGAAGATTACTGAAGCATCAGCTGATGGATGATTCGATTCATTCGAATCCATCCAAAACTTGCCAGCATAATCCGACACAAGTGACCGGGAAGAGTTCCAGATCGTCAGGATATTATGCGACAAGCTACTCGACGGACCGCGTAAATGCTACAGTATTCACACGACAAAAGCACAAACAAACCGCAGTTCCTTTGCACGTTATCTATGTACTACGGTATATGATTCTTTGCGACTACAGCAGCCATTACTTTCTACAGAGCTGTTGATTGATTGATTGATTGATTGACTGCGTGAAGGAGCGACCACCTCTTGTGGCATCCTGCCTTTGGGTCCAACAAATCTCATCCTTCCATGGGTCGTTTCCACTGTGACTTTTTCGTCTTGGGGTTCCAATAGTACGCTTCACCGCGTTGTGTAATATTGGTCAACCACGGTGCGGGCAAGACATCGTCGGGATTGACCCGTCTCTGTTTCATGGGTTTCCCGTCGTTGCGCTTGAGGTAGGAAAAGTCGGGCAAATCGACCCATGCCACACGCGCTTCCGTGGCATATTCCGTGGGCCAATCGACGAGAATGTTCTGAAATTGCGTTTCAATGTACCAGGCAATGCGTTCCAAGTGATCATCGCATTGTTTGGCATCGGGGTCACGGACCATGAGGTGCATCCAAACGAGTTTTTTCAATTCCTTGATGCGATTCTGGACTTGGGTCAAATCGGCAGACTGGTCAATGACCGACAAGGGATCCCAGGGTTGATATTCTCGATCTTCTGGAAGAGATGGTTGTGATTGATTTCGTAGATTGCTGGTGTCATCGTCATTATCATCGTCATCGGCAGGCATCATAGTCTTGGTCAAATCTTGATAAATATGATCGTAATGAAAGAGATGCAAAAAGGTATACTTTTGTACCTTTTGCAAATTCTTTTCGACACTCATTTCGTAGACTCCCTGTTGTCGAATCCGACACAGAGTATCATTCCACAAGATGCGAAAGAGTTCGTCTTGAATGAGCATGGCCCAATCGGGATCCATTCCACCGGTCGATGCTACCAATCGTTTGTGCAAAAACCAAATGTGCATAGTGACCATGGCATGACGAGATCGAAAATCACGAGGGATACAACCGGGACCGTACCAGCGGCTGTAGAAACACGTACAAATGCAAAAGAAAGATCAAGTTAAGGCCTGGATAAGGGTATACGGTACAGGTCCATATGCCTTTTTGGTTGTCTATTACTTACGGATCGTTGGCTTGTCGTGTGGCAGCTTGAAATAGTTCTTCTCCAATTCGAATTCTGTCTTGTTGGCGTCGAATGGACCATCGATCCATCAGCCTGTCCAGAAATCCTCGTTCTTGGCTCGTAGGCGAGGGTTGCGCCTCGGCCAAATCACTCGCATCTTGCAGCGAAGAAGACGACGACGAGAAATGTTGGAAAGTGCTGCTACCGGTGGCACTACTAGTACCGGTACTACTGGCAGCCACCAACCGAGACCTTGGAATGGATCGCAATGGAAGCCGCCTCGCACACGAACGGGCTACCCATGAAGAAGCGCAGGAGGAGATTCCAAGCATTCTTCTGTCTTCCAACAGCCAACTCTCAATATATCTCTATTTATCTGCAATAGGGTCTTTACCTAACGTAGTTGACAGGCAAGCTATGGGTTAGGAACGAAGATGAGGGGTTACTATTAATAGTATGGGTATTGATAGCTGATACCACGCAAGGATGAAGGAAGCGGTGGCTGCGTCATTGTCAACTTCGGCCAAGCTGAGTGGAGTTGTTGGTGGCAGTTCTTCCACCCGTTCAAGACGGATGAAGGGCAGACAGAACTTCGTGACTGGGAATACAGGTTGCTGTAAAAGCAAAGACCTGGGGTGGCTGTTACGGTGCTATTGCGTGATCACTGTAAACTGGCACTGCCAGCACGCCCGTGGCCACATCATCTATGCATAGCCACCACAGTACCGGTAGCACAGCTTGATTTCCGATACACTTGTACCGTCACAAGCATCCACCACCGTCCACCGCGCCATGATAGCTCACTTCCTTCACCTTCCGCACCTTCGTGAACTCTGAAAGCATGTTCGGGAAAGAGCGTCATTGACTGTTTGCTGTTCTGGAGGGGTAAGAAAACTCCACGCACCTGGCATAGTACATGGTCTCGCGACGTATGCTCCCAATAAAAAGTGCTGATGGCCCAAAAGCTGGTTGGCAGCTAGCATAAGGGAGCGTCTAGCTAGCCATCCAATAATATTCACCCTGCCTATCGTGCTGAATCTGATTGGCAGCTGCGAACACTCAAGTCCCAAATTTGGCTGGTCGTGCTGGAAAACTCAGTTCCAAGCGCATACCATGCGACCTAGTAGAGGTTGTAATGACTGCTTGTCTACTGGCTGACTGGCTGACGATGATTCACTTGCAGCCGCATTTTCCTCTACCTCTAGATGACGATGGGCGAGAGTTGACCGGAAGCTTCGAAGAAAGGGAGGAAACTGACCAGTGTAGGGCTTTGCCCAAACTGGAGATTGAAAAAGTCAATGGCTCGTGGTTACTTCGTTGCAGGTCCCCATGTGGGCACCGAAGCAACCATGGACACAAGCTACTGTAGGGGTACTCTTTGGAAAATTCACTGTGGAATGGTTTCTTGGTTCCTTGCTCGTGGAAAGATGGAAAGCCCCAGTGGGGCCGGTGGACAGGTTCGATCACAACGTCCTGTCAAGATTACAACGCCCATGATCAAGTGATCAACAGCCGTAAAGCCTTTTTTCCGTAATTTGTAAGACTGCGAAGCTTTGAATCATAAGTATTTGGTGCCCAAAAAGACACCGGTTACGTTTACTAGAATACAGCTCCACTACCCACTACAGCTCCACTTTACCGGTACCCGCCCACCACAGCTCCACTACCCACCTTCGTGGCGGTGGCGGTAAGCGGAACCGGCGGTAAGCTGAAGTCTCCTTCCTACATCCAAAAGCAGAAAGCTCACAAAAACCCAAATCGAAGGCAATCAATCAATCAAACAAACATGACTTTTAAAAAAGTGTTAGATCAGTACTTTACTAGTGCGGCAGTGTTCCTTTGCCTGCTCATTGCGGCAAGGGCTTCACAGCCTTTCGAAAGGAGATATTCCTTCTCTGGAAGTGGCTGTTCAGATCTAAAGTGGACAGTTGACAGGGAGGCACTTAAGATAACTCTCCAGTGGAAGAGTGAAGTTGGGGCAGAATGGACAGCCTTTGGAATATCAGAAAATGGTGGGATGAAAGGTGCAGACATTGCCATGGTCAAGATGGACGGAGACAGCAACTTCCTGATTGAGGACAGATTCTCCATGGAGTATGGGCTTCCTTCATTGGATTTGCTTCAGAATATCAAACTTCTTGATGCCCACCATGATGATGAAGGCAGGATTCATGTTACAATTCAACGGGACTTGTTCACTTGTGATGAAGAAGACATTGATGTTAAGTCACACCAGCAGTACATCATTTGTGCCTCTGGCAACCTTTCAGAGGATGGCGACATGCTCTATCATGGCCCCAACAGGGCAACAGGAAGGGTCAACTTCATGATTGACGAAGCAAGTCTGTTTGAACAGAACCTGCAGCCCCCTCCACCCAATGGTACAAAGACCCACTTGGAAGAGGGATTAGTACTCCATGGCAACCTTGATACTGCTGTTGGCCCTCTTCCTTTGGATGTCCAGATGACAAATGTACAACTAGATTCGACTTCAGCAACAAGCTACAGGTGCAGAGCATTCAATATATCTGAACCCATGAAATTTACAGCCTATGAAGGCGTTTGGGAAGAGGGCAAAACTGAAAGTAATGGGGACAGGAATGAGTTCCTTCACCACACTCTCATTTACCATTGCAATCGACCATCACCTGGCATTTTATCCCATTCTGATGGCCAGCCATGGGACTGTATGAGCCAAATGCCAGCATGTGACATTGTTATATCCTATGCAGTGGGCACTGGTTTGGCAGAACTCCCATCAGGAGTGCACTTGCCTCTCAATGCTGGGCTCATTGTCCTTCAAGTTCACTATGAGAACCCCTTCAGAAAGCCTGTTGTGAACGATTCATCAGGATTGAGACTGTGGATTGAACCTCCATCAGTGGATTCAACAAACACCAAGGTAGCTCAACTTGCAACTCATGATGGTCTGTTTGAATCATTGAGAATCCCAGCTGACCCAAAGCAAAAAGAAGTCACACTGCAGATGCTGATCTCAGCAGAAGCTACAAAGGAATATCTTCCTGAAGAGGGGGTCCAGGCCTTTGGTTCTGTGTTACATATGCACACACGAGGAATTCGAGGGAAAGTCAGCTTGATTCGGAATGGCACACATATCATGGATGTCTACAACCACCAAGCCTATGATTTTGAACGACAAACAGCAGATTTTACCCGTTGGACGTTCCTTCCGGGTGACGCCCTTATCATATCATGCACTTACCGGCCACTAATTGACAGAGATGTGGTGGGTGGTCTCAATACTGATGATGAAATGTGTCAATTCTATGTGGGCTGGGCACCAGCAATTCCAAACTTTGGGAGAGCTATGGGTGTATATGTTAGAGAGGGAGAGCCATTCAAGAATACACACATGGGCAACAACATCACAGTGAGCCCCAGAGACCTACCCTACAGTGAATACAAATATGCACCCACTCCCAAGAATAGCAATGACTTTGTCAAACTCTCAGACCATCGAATGAATGTCTGCAAGTTATTTGTTGGTGAAAAGCTTGCCGTTAATGCAATCACTTATGGCGACCCAGCAATCTATGCTCAGCTGGTTGCCATTGCTGCTTTTGTGGTGGTCACTTTGCTATCAAAAAGGACTTTATTGGGATTCTTAGGAATCCAGAACGCTGACTTGAGGGAGCAGCGCAATGCTGTGGTCTACCTTGGAGAGCTCCTTTTCAGCACAGTGGCTCTCCCAATCTTGTGCTGGGATCTGGCTTCAGTATTTCAGGAAGGGACTGCTCAAAATGGCGTGGACCCAAACCAGCATGTTCTCTCTAGAGGCTTGATGATGACACAAGCTATGCTGTATCTGTTGGAACTCTTCTATAGGATTGACATCCGATGGTCCCTGGTCATGCACCATCTCATGACCTCATGTACTGTCATGTATCTTTTTGTTGTTGGTTTCACCAACTACCAACTCCTGGCCTTCAAGTTTGGCATGGCCTTGATTATCTTGGCAATGTCTGAGCAACCACTGTATATCATCCTATTGCTCCGACTAACTGGATTTCGTGAGGCCTACACGAGAATTTGGCCAAGGCTTTGTCATATTGCTTGTTTCATCTTTTTGGCCAGCAGAGTTATTGTGGTGACCCTCATTGTTATTCTCTTGACCCAGCAGGCCGGGTCTGCCGAGCAGGCCGGGTCTGCCGACATTGCGTGGAAGTTGTTGGACACCAGCTTCCCTGACTGGTACATGCCTTCCAATCCTTTCTTTTCCAATCACAAAGTTGTCAATGCAATGCTGATTGTCTTGTTGGTGACAATCCTCTTTGCCAACTATTTTGCTGTCGCTGCCATGTTGCACATGGCAAGGCCTTCCAGGAGGGTCGAAGAAAACCATCAATCATTGTCAGGTGTGGAGGCAACACAAGATGATGAGAAGTCACTTTCAGAGACAGTTTCAGCAGGACCTCCTCGAAACAGTGCATTGGATGTTTGAGTTTGCATGGCCACAGCTAGCTATCCAACAATTGCCATGTCCGTCAGTACATACATACGCCCTCCAATGAAGTTATCTCCTCCTTCCGTTCATGTTAAGCTCATCGATAAGTCGATTTTATAGAATCTGTTTTGCATGAAGAAACATCTTGCTATTAGTAGTAGCTAGCCAGCCAGCCTCGATCAACCAAGACCGTCGGCGGGGACCGTGACAACTTCCAGACGTTGGAGCTTGCTTGCGGGAAAACGTCTCCAAGTTTGCATGCTTTCCGATCCCTTGACCTTCTAGCTACTGTATGATCTCGGCCGCTGCACGGCACCTCATTGGCAACGTGGTCAACTTGTGCTGTATCGTAGCTACGTCACAGATCCATCGCTCTGTTCCTTGGTTTTGGTGGGAGCAGCGGCCCGTCCCTCTGGAAGAAGAACAAAAGACGAGCTGAAAGAACAAGTGCTTGGCACCACGGAGCACGTCTTAGTTGTTTCTTGAAACCTGAAACGTGAAAGGCAGAATGTTCGCACTGAAGGGACCCATGCTGGTAGATGCCGCCCTCGCAAAGCGACTGTAACAAACCATGACTGATTGCTGTCAAGGACTATTCCCTTCTCCAAAATCGTTTTGCCTAGCTAGCTGCATCCTGCCCTCCCTTCTCTGCCAAGCACCCCGTCCTCATCATAGTTCCCTCTAACCCATAGTACTACAGAGCAGGGAAATTATCTACGGAAGCCAGCCGGGGCCAGGCTTTAGGTAAAGGCAGGCGATCGAATCGAATCAAATCAAATCCTGTGCACAGGCCCTATACTCCCCCCCTCTCTCTCTAACTCTCAGTGTCACCTCCCTTTTCCCAACATCACTGTGTGTCGTCTTGTTTGTCGTCGATGTTGGAATTGGATAGCTATTGGATTCGAGTGCCCGGGTGTTTTGGGTGAATGAACGAACGATCGAACATCGAACGTGGGAACCTGTCGTTGCGGACGCCACAAAGTTGGTGTGATATCGAAGCAGTCCTCCTTGTGGGGAGGTCAAACTTCTCTCCCCCTTCATTCTACTAGCACGACCTTATAATCATCGTGTACCATCTCGTCATCCCTTCCCCTCGTCTCGTTTTGCTCGTGCCAATGCTAGCCACACCGGTGGCCATTTCTGCCTGGGAGTCTTAGCTACAGCACCGGTAGCGGCTGGCTGTATCCTGCGTGCCGGTGCCGTACCGAGCTGAAGTAAGGATTCAATCATTCGGCAAAAGGCTTACCGCTTGCATTTGGCACCTTGGCTTGTTTTACCGCAACCGCTGGATGGTTACCGTTTTGGTGCAAACCTGTGGCTTCGTCCCTGCGGAAGATAGAGATCGGAATGGAACGTCTTCTGTCCCACGAAAAACCTGGAGAGTGGAGGGAGTACCGGTGGCAGAGTTTGTCGAGCGAGGAAGCAGACCTGGCAAGTCGGTTCCTGGACCGAACTTCTTGTCCAAGTTGACGGAAGTGGAGGTGGTTCCTGAATTCTGAACTAGCTAGTACTAAATATACAATCGGCTTAACACCATGCAGAGGGGCGTGCTGTTTGGCAGCAACTGGTTGTGCAGCTTGGACCGGTCGAGGAAGTTTCCAGCTTTTCCAGGGTGTCTTCGTCCTGCTGTTTTTCTTTTTCAACTTCATCTCAATTTGCGATTTGCGACACAGAGGGACCGATCGCGCTTCACTCCAAAGCTCAGTTATACTCCTTATCCAAACCCTTTGCCCCCCGTAATGGTCCTCAATTTCTTGCCCCTGATCCCACAGAACCTAGTCCTGAATTTCGACTGTTCTTTGCTTAAGCCTGGCCCCGGCTGGCTTCCGTAGCTAATTTCCCTACTCTAAAACCCCCTTATAAGTTATACTCCTTATTCCTTGTCCTTTTTTGACCCGGCGAATTCTGAGGGTATGGAGGAATTCCCCAATTCCTCGATGGAGCAGGATCAAGACTGTCCAGTCATGAACATGACTGGGAGTCATGAATCAGTACTGTTCTACACAAGTCTACATGGAGTCACTAGCGGGACTGGCAGTTAATTCCTTTCCCCCATTCCCTTTCCCTCTAATGCTTCCTTCTATCCCTGAAGGAATAGTGGAGGGTGGAGGAATTGCCGGAGTCGGGGAATTCCTCGAAGGTAAGCTCCAAAGTCTATAATAAGAAAGCTTTAACCGTGAGGCAAAACTCTTACTACTGTGTACGGTGTACGGATACATGTGTGACACACCGGTAGCTCTACGGATTCGGGTCGATGCTCTTTTAAAAGCAGATTGGCTACCACTATACTGAGTAAAGTATTAGTAAAATCGAACAATTAGTACTGTAACCTGCGTATTCTGGTTGAATTTGTCGAATTCGATGTCGTAGATGTCGATTGACATCTACTCCATTATGTCCTGTAAGACGGTCCTTGTCGTAGATGTAGCGAGTTACAGCGTCGAGTCTTGAGGCTTGAGGGCGCATCAGGTACTGGTTGGAAAAACTGCTGAGCTTTTTTTTGGTTGGACGGTCCCGGTCTGAAAGTTGGCGAAGGTGTGCTCAAGCAATGCTTCCGTTGCCGTAAAATTACAAGTGAATCCGTCGCTGCAAGGTTGTACCGGTGGGGTAGGCTTTGTTTGGGACTTGTTTGGGACTTGTTTGGGAGGGCCGAGCATTGGTCTCATTGGAACGGAACGGAGCAACTCATAAAAATCCTACAAGTTCATCATGGTCACGCGACGCAAATGTATCCTCTTTGCCCTTTTGACCTGCCTGGTTGCCCCCACCGGGGCTTCCCTGCCTTTTCAGTTTGAGAGGAATGCCACCCTTGTTGGAGATGGTTGTACAGATCTTAAATGGACAGTTGACAGGGAAGCACTCAAGATAACTCTACAATGGAAGAGTGAAGTTGGCGCTGAATGGACAGCATTTGGCATATCAGAATATGGAGGAATGAAAGGTGCTGACATTGCTGTGGTCAAGTTCGGTGGAGGAGACAATGGGGGCTTCCAGGTTGAGGATAGATTCTCCACTGAATATGGGCTTCCAAAGGTAGACTTTATTAAGAATGTCAAGCTCCTTGAGGCCCACCATGATGATGAAGGAAGGATTCAGGCTACAATTGAAAGGAACTTGTTCACTTGTGATGAAGAAGACATTGACATTGCGGCCCACCAGCAATACATCATCTGTGCCTCCGGCTATCTTGCAGAAGACCAAGACATGCTTTACCACGGCCCAGACCGGGCAACAGGAGTGGTCAATTTCATGATCAATGAAGAACTCTTATTCCAACGCAAGCTTGTGGCACCTCCAGCTGATGCTCCAAAAACTTACTTGGGGGATGGAATGGTAGTCCACGGAAACCTGGACGCTGCTGTGACCCCTTTGCCTTTGGACATTCAAATGAACAACATTTCTCTGGACTCTAATGTCTCAACACACTATGTGTGCGAGGTTTTCAACATCTCCAAACCCATTACCTACACAGCATATGAGGCTGTGTGGGGAGAAGGCAACACAGGTGGGGATGGTGACAGAAATGAATTTCTCCACCATCAGCACTTTTTCTTCTGCCCACAACCACCAGCTGACATTGTATCACACATGGATGGACAGCCCTGGGACTGTCTTAATAATGTGCCCGCCTGTGATATTATTTTTGGCTATGCAGTGGGACAACGTCTGGTGGAAGGCCCCCCTGGCTTACATGCAGATCTCAATGCAGGGATCCATGTCCTATTGGTTCACTATGAAAACCCTTTTGGCAAGCCGATTGTGAATGAGTCTACTGGCTTCAGGCTCTGGATCCAACCCCCATCTCTTGATTCGGCAGGCACCCAGCCAGGACAGATTGCTTCCCATGGTGGTTTGTTTCAATCATTGGTAATCCCCGCTGACCCAATTCAGAAAGAAGTTACTCTGCAGTTGCTAATCTCAGCAGAAGCTACAAAAGAATTTCTGCCTCGAGGGGGTGTCCAGGCCATGGGGAGCTTGTTGCACATGCACAAACTAGGAACTCGGGGAAGGGTCAGCTTGATCAGGAATGGCACGCACATCATGGATGTCTACAATCACAAATCATATGATTATGCACGACAAAGTGCAGACTCTACCCGCTGGAGGTTCCTTCCTGGGGACGCCCTTATTATTTCATGCACATATCGGCCTCTTGTTGATAGAGATGTAGTTGGAGGCTACAGCGTTGATGATGAAATGTGTCATTTTTACGTGGGCTGGGCACCAGCAGTGCCAAACTATGGGAGGCCTATGGGGGTCTATGTCAGGGAAGGAGAACCTTTCAAGAATACACCTATTGGAAACAACATCACAGTGAATGCTAATCAAGGACACCTACCATACAGTGACTTTAAGTATCCACCCACTCCCAAGAGCAGCCATGACTTTGTCCAACTCTCTGACCACCGCAGGAATATCTGCAAGCCATTGCTAATGGAGATGACAGAATCCAACACAATCACCTATGGCGACCCAGCTGTTTATGCACAGCTTGTCGCCATTGCTGCTTTTGTGGGAGTCACTCTCCTTTCCAGCAAAAAGTTCGTGAGGTTTCTTGGAATCCACACTTGTGACTTGAGGGAACGGCGCAATGCTGTGGTCTACCTTGGTGAGCTCATGTTCAGCACAGTGGCACTTCCGATTGTGTGCATGGATCTGGCTTCGATCTATAAGGAAGATGCCACCTTCAATGGTGTGGATCCCGATATGCTTACTATCTCGCGAGGTCTCATAATGACCCAAGCTGTGCTGTATTTGATGGAACTTTTCTATCGAATTGATGTCCGTTGGTCACTTGTCCTACACCATATCACGACTTTGTGTACCATGATGTATCTGATTGTGGTCGCTGTTGTCAATTTCAGTCTTTTGGCCTTCAAGTTCGGAATGGCCTTGATTATCTTGGCAATGTCAGAGCAGCCCTTGTACATTGTACTCTTGCTCCGACTTACTGGATTCCGCGAGACTCACAGGAGCATTTGGCCGAGACTTTGTCACATTGCTTGTTTCTTGTTTGTGGCCAGCAGGGTGGTTGTGGTAATCCTTGTTGTCAATCTCTTGGTCCAGCAGTCTGGATCTTCGGATATTGCATGGGCATACCAGGAAGTCAGCTTTTCTGAGTGGGCACCGTCCAGTCCCTTCTTTACGGACCCCAGGGCCGTCAATGCTGTTTTGATTATCTTGTTGGTGGCCATTCTGTTTTCCAATTTCTTTGCTGTTGCTGCCATGTTACACATGGCGAAGCCTCCCAGAAGTGTCAGTATCACTGGCAGCCACGAGATCACAGAGGATGACATTTTGAATTCCCAAGAGAAGCAGAGCTCTATGTCAAGCGGCCCAAATGAATCTGAATCTGAAGCCTTGAGTAAGATTCATGGTGCTTGATTGATTGGCTCTCACGATCGAGGAGGGTGGCCCCAATATATCGGAGGGGGTTCCTTCATGGTTGACAATAGTCTGGCATAGCTAGTTCATCCCGCTGCAATGCATGTTCCTATCCGTATGTAGAAACGTAACGAAGTAAGTTTAGGTTAATGACTCTAGAGGCAAGTGTGGACTCATCGCTGTAGCCAACCTGGCTGACTGCTGACATGGACCTTCCCCTCCTCCAAAGCAAGTCGTTCTAGCTAGTTACTACGGTGGCTAGCTATAGTACTAGCTGGCTAGTAGAGGGGCGCTTCGGAAAGCAAGAGGGCGCCAACAAGGTGGTCGAATGGAATGGAATCGAATCAAATCCTGTGTGAAGCCCTTTTCCCAAACATCACTGTGTCTCGTGCGTCTGGCTTGTTTTCGTGGATGCTGACATTGGATCCCCCCTCAATTGAGTGCCCAGCCACAAACGAACAATCGAACGCACGACGTAACCTGTTTTTGCGGACTCAGCCAGCACGCCACAAGAAAGTTAGATCTATTACTTGGAGTGGTGTGTGACGGAAGCAATCCTCCTTAATTGTGGCGAGGTCAAACTTTTCTTTCTAGCCTTTCATTCTACCGGTACAGTATCATGATAGTGTACTGTACCATCATGAAATCTGCTCGCCGCGTTTCGTCTTGCCCGTGGCTGTCGTTCGAGGAATTCACGTACGGTATGGATGCAAACTATAGACGATAGTAGACTAGCTAGGTCTCTAGTCACACTGGTGGCCACTTCCGCCCGGGATCGAGTCTTCTAAAGCTACAGTATAACGGCTTGACTGTCTCGTACTTACCGTACCGAGTCGAGTCAAGTCCAAGCGAGGATTCGGCGCCCTGGTTGTGGCCTTCAAAATTTAGGCTTGGACGTATAGTTTACATTTATTTATTTTGGCACCTTGAAAGCGTGTTTTTCCGACACCCTGTTTCTTTTAGAAGTCAAGTCATGAAGGAACAAACTCTGTTCGTTTAGTTGACTAAGGTATACGTTAATAATATTTACACAATCTCTCTACTAATGATACTGGGGCTTGTCGTTTCGTTCGTTTGGGGTGTGGTGTCACTCGCACTGTACGCGCACTGTACGGTAGTTGTTACTCAAGCCTTCTGTTGTGGTTGCTCTTGTTGTTGTTGATTGGATGCTGATGAAATGTTACTGAGTATAATGAGCCAAAAGAAAGAGACACAGGCAATGAATGTGACTCGATAGTGTTCCGGCACCACTCCAAAGGTGAAACATCCCACGGGTCCCCACAACAGCCAGTACTTTTGCAGTAATGATTGATGGGCAATGTCGTCAATGTACTTGGATATAGATTCTTGTGGCGATTGTGCAAAGATGGTTCCCTTGATGAGATATGCCATGGGCAACGTAAGGAGTGGCGTTTGCACCAACAAGTCAAAGGCGACCTTGGTGAGGACCACAGTGACTTCATTGCCCGGTCCAAACCACGAAGGATAGAGCGTATTGTAAATGTATTCTTGACTGATGCCTTGATACAACGAGCCGTACAGTAAAAAGGCCACGTTGCGCCTGTAGTCCGTTTCCAACAGGATGGATGACAGAAAATCGTTGTTTGTCTCTTCTACTGGAAGAACACACTCCATTGTCTTGGTCAGATCCACACGCTCCGCTAAAGTGTCGCCTTCTTCCAGTTGTGCGTCGTCATCATCATTGACATTATAATTCTGCTGTGCCACCATGTCGGCCGCGGATGCCTTGAATCCACAAATCAGGGCCGCCGCCGTGTACGGTGACGTCTGCCAAAACGAGTCAATTGCCGTCATGGCCGACGCCACATTCAACGACACGGCGTTCAGCTCCGTACTACTGATTCTTGGTGGTGTTGTCATCAGGGTGGTAGCAGGAGCAAAGGAGAGACTAGAAGTGGCTTGTAACGCCACAAACAGAGCTACGGTTGTCGTTGATCGCGTCATGGTCTCTTGGCTGATATAAATAAGGGATGGGTCTGTGCGGAGAGAGTAAATGGAGTGAACAAGTCCTTGGAGAGCACCTATGAAATGGTTTGCTTTGTCTTTGTCTTGTTTGTTGTGGTGGTGCAAAAATGACTGCTTTGGTTTGGTGGTGTGGTGGTGCTATCGGCGGTCAGTCGCTTCGATTGCTTTGGCAGAAAAGAGAAACAACAAGAGCCAACGGGTCTTCCGAAATTCTAGCTAAGGTGTTGTCAGCTCCAATTCCGACCTCTTGCCGACGTCGTGCAAAGGGACAGACGCCGAAATGGAGCAAATTGTGAGGGCCAAAAAGAATTCTGATTCGGCATTCGTTGGAAGGTTCTAGATTATTCTCTAACTCAGTTTCCGTCTTTAACCAGGAAGACAGATGGCAAACGGGTAGGTGCGGTAAGGCTTAGGTTAAGGTTACAATTTGCTCCAAGGATTTAACTTAAAGTGTAGTTTTACCACACCTACCTGACATTCAAAGCTGTCTTCCAGAGCGACACGCCGCAGATCGTCCCGAGCCAAGCCAAAGACACCACAATGAGCCAAGGCCTCCAGGACGTGTTCAGGCGGTGTCAGAGGTACAGGTACGAAGGACATGACATTGTACATCGTACCACGACCGGCCTTTCGTCGGAAGGTCCAGTACCGGCACCTACGAACAGTCCCACAGTTTCAGTCCCGCGCACTAATGAGCGCTCGGCGCACTAATGGGCGCTCATTAGGGCGCCGAGCGCTCATTAGTGCGCGGGACTGAAACGAGCGCTCATTACTGTGCGGGACTAATCATCAGTTCATCAGCGATGCTCCAGGTCAGGATGTGGCCACCTGGCTAGCCTCTGCTAGTAGCTACTAGCTAGAGCTAGCGGTGGCTACCGGTAGATAACTGAAGTGTTGCTTTGTCCATGATGTGTCCGCGACCTGACACGGTTTTCATTCAGGATTTTAAAAAAACTTGAAATTACCACGACTGCGGACCGTTTGAAAACATGCCCTTAAGCATGCTCTTAAATCTTCAACATGCCCTTATAAATATTCCCTTAAATAAACATGCCCTTAATAAACATGCCCTTAAAACATGCCTTTAAATGAGAACCAGTCGTGACAGTTTTTTAAAGCCTCCGTCGGACGGTCGCCTCTTTCATCTTTAATCTACTGTACATGTACGATGTACAGTATGATAGGAGTTCTTTGTGGCCCCACGACCTCTTGGACTACAGTCGTATTTTGGCGTACTCGTACGGTAAAATTTGAGATTTGATTGAATCGAATCGAATTGAATCGAATCGATCTAGCTATTTTATTTTAAAATGCACATCTTATCAACTACAAGCTAGCAGTCGAGGCAGACTACTAGCTGAAAATAATGATCGTTTTGCCTCCTCTGCCTAGCTTCTTGGTCTCCTCTGCCTTGAAAGCGTACCGGTATCCCATACATCGTCCTTGACAGCCAACAGTCAAGCACAGTTGACCTGCATGCGCCGCCGTTGGCCAGCCCAGGAACGGCAACATTCGCTCCTCTACCGTTGCTAGACTACGAGGTACACGGATCCAAGTGCCATAATCGCCGTAGACACCAGAACGCTGCACTTGGCGTGCACGACTCCAGCAGACTTGGACGAGTAGAGCCATCCATAAGAAGAGGAGGTCGTGGCGGCAGCCTCTGCGGCTTTATCGCTTGCTTCCTCTTCATCAACTGGCAAACTTTCATCAAATCTGGCAGTTCCGGTGGCAGCACCACCAGATGTCTTGTCCGGAACATGATCATAGTTGTACGAAACATCCATCTTGGTGACGCTCGTACCGGTAGTAGGAGTACTCTTGGGGTCCACAATTCGAAGACCAAAGTCATCGGTTCCGTCTTCTTCTTCCACGCCGGAGGAGTCCAACGTGGTCGTGGGCATCACTTTGACGACATTGTTGGCAGTTCCCTTGATCCCAAAGTTGGCATTGCGGTTTCGGCCACCTCGACCTCCTCCTCGACCACCTCCTCCGCCGCCTCGACCGTTTCCTCTACCACCGTTGTTGTTACCTCCTCCGTCTTCGTCCGGTGAATCGTTGTTATTGTTGCCACCGCCACCGTTGTTGCCACCTCCACCGTTGTTACCACCTCCACCGTTGTTGCCCCCGCCTCCATTGTTGCCTCCTCCTCCACCGTTGTTGCCTCCGCCTCCATTGTTACCTCCTCCACCATTGTTACCTCCTCCGCCGCCACCGACTTGTTGCTGAAAGTTGGCAGGTTCTGGAATGACCGTCCTGGTGGTGACGAGAAGATCCAAGGATTGTGGTGAGAGTGAGAGAGAGGACAAGATGTAGCAAGTTGAGCATTCTTGACTCAGTAACTTACAAGGAGGCACCATTCTTGACACGATCAATCATTCGAGAATAGACAATTGCAAACTCTTCCAGGAATTGACCATTGTCGTCGATAAAGTCGTTGACAGCGGTGTGGGTGGCCTCATTTTCCCTAAGGGGGAAGCAGTCGGCAAAGAGGCGATTGCCATCGCAGTCGTCCTCGTCGGCCGTGGGCGGGAGAGGATCTGGGAGAGAAACACGGCCGCTGGCATCCATGTAGGATTCAATATCATAAAAGAGGTTGATGTCCACATTGAGCACTGATCCAGCAAATGATGCAAGGTCTGGAGTTAGAAATATGCGAGATCTTTGTTCATCCTTAGCATATGTGAAGCAGCCAACTTACTCAGATCTTGGCAGTTGTCATTGCAATCCCATTGCCACTGGAATTGGCCATTGTTCAACTCGATTTGCTCCCAACCGCTGCCTTGACCAGGATCTAGCATTTCCTCATAGTAGCCATTGTTGAATGTGTTCTCCTGTCTAGTCCAGTCTCCAGTAAAACCAGAGTTGCCAGGATTTGCTCCTCCCTGTATTCACGTTGAATGAGGCATCTCGTTAAGAGTGGGAACTTCGTCTGAGCATGATGTTTGTCACTTCAAACTTACCAAGGTGTGAGCCCCTAGGATCACAGCCACTTCACGTTCGTCAAATCCAAAAAAGTTTCGGAAGTATGCAAGGACTTCGCTGTGATCACCACTTCCCAGCTCAGAATCGGGTGGGGTATCTTCTGTAACACCACCGTTAAAGTCTGCCCGACCAAATGTCAAGGGAACCCACGGAGGATTTCCTGGGACCGCAATGTAAAAGCCGGCAATGTAGGACCATGCATAGAAGTCAGCTCTAGTCATGCCTGCTGAAAGGAACTGTTGGTTATTGGTCCATAGATCATCCAGCTGATCAAAAGTGTTGAGCAAACCATTGTGCTCATCACTGTTTCGGTCAATGTTGCCGTCCACGCCACCCATTGAATCGCTGAAGAAAAGATAAAGGGCATGGTTAAAAGTGAACAAACACTGGCTGCTTCCCTTTGTGACAACAGGTTCAGTACTTACTGAAAGGCAAGGCGAACAAGATTCCGGCCACTGTTGAAGTTGTTGCTGATCAAGTCATGCACGAAGAAGAAGTCCTCTGCAGTTTGGGATGCTACTGCGGGAATAGAGGATAGACCAAGCAAGGCCAAGGATGCAAATCGAAGATTCATATTGATGTCTTTGTCTTTGGAGGAAAGATATCAAAATTGTGAGCAGAAGTAGAAGCAGGTATGGGTCAAAGATCGAGAGCTACCCAATGCTGCAACTCGGTACAGTAACCTGGTTTCCATTCAAAAAGTGAGGAGGTCGTGGCAACAAGTCGATCACAGGAATCTGATTCCCATGTGTAAATCTTTGGGTACTCTCTCAGGCACAACATCACTGTGCAGGCACTTAACGTACTGGTACGTGTAAAGGACTTAACATCAGAGGCGTCATCGAGGGAAATTTGGGGTGAACAGCAAGGTTGCAAGACCTAACGTTCTAAAGTGAAGTCAAAGCTTACCATCGAAATTTGACATGCACCCTTCCTGCACAAATAAACCCTTCTTGAACCCTTCTTTCTCACGTAAACGCACCGGCAAGAACCACCCAGGATGAGTTATATTCCCTCCTGTCTACCACCTTGAGACCGCCGTTGCCTCATTGTTTGCTGTCCCGAGCAAGATAGCGGAAGCAGCTTATAGGTTTCGTACCCCATCGACCACCCAGCTAAAAAACCATCTCTCGATTTGTCCACCCAGCTAACCTGCCATCTGCCATCTCTCGATTTGACAAGGCGGGCGACTCGGGGCAAGGTACTGCAATGCTTGGGTGGCCCGCCCACCCGTTAGGAAAGCTGCTTCAGAGACGGGAAAACCCAGCCACCAATACAACGTAATACCTCCCAAGAGCTCCAGGCAGCTCCGTCCAGGTCTTGCTGGCATTGCCCTCACGGAAACGGGGTTTCGTTTCCGCCCTTTTCATTTCAACCCGAGGGTTTGTCTCGCCATGTCTTGCTCCATGTTACATCAGCTTTTCGATACCTGGATCATTGCAGTACACTTGTAGTCTATCATAGCTTTGTTTCGGTTCGTTTTGCCAAGCTCTGGTTATTCGATGCTATCTAGAACATTGCAAGTACCATGTGACCGGCTTTCTTGCAATTCGATCTCAGGCATGGATGATATCGAATGGATGACTGCACTTTTTGCCAAGGAAAGTTTGCGATCGTTGGAGTGCAGCACCAGGGGATTCTGCCCCGGTTTCGCATTGCGGAGAGTCCATGAGGGCTCCGAGCAATCTTCTGTTTGGAACGCGTGATACCGTCCGACGTTGTACCAATGTCGGAAGACAAGGCTCTTCGAAATCATGGCCTGCCCATAGATTGTTCTGGTGGATCAGCTCAGCCTCGTTGCGCGTACATGTCCCAGTAGATGCCAAAAGAGCCCACCTCCGCCTCTGGCTCCTTGCTCTCTTCCTTCGGTACCAAACTACAAACTGGTTCCTTATTTCGAATGATCTAAGGTAATATGGAGTGGTAAGAACAGAAAGGCAACACTATATGGAGAACTATACGATTACTGGGGAACCATACAGTTCAAAGCAGCTTAAACGAGCTCACAATTAACTATTTTTCACCGCCTCCACCGCCGATGGCAGCCACTCCGCCACTGTTGCATCCACTGCCACCAAGTCGTTGCTGAAAGTTGGCAGGTTCTGGAATGACCATCCTGGTGAACAGATAGATCATCCGAGGATTGAAGTGAGAGAGAGGGCAAGACATAGCAAGTTTTTGCATCATCCGAAAAACTTACAAGGAACCTGTCTTGGCAGGATCAATCATCAGAGCATAGATATCTGCGTACTAATCTATCTGAAGACATTGATCTTTTTTTCCCCAAGATAAATAGCATGTGACCCGACCTGAGAGGGAAGCACGTGGGGGGAAAAATCGAATCAAATCCACGACTTCCACCTGGTACCGGTACTGTAGCCTTTTTGAGCGAATAATCTTGGAGGAGTGTGGCAGAGAAGCCACCTGTCGCCTAAGATCCAGAAGCCACTGGCCTTCGGCCTCATTGACCTACCTCATTGGTTGCAGCGTAACAGTAACAGCCAATAGATCTTGCGTCACGCATTAGCTCGGGGCTAGCTAGCTAGTAGAGCACGGTCCAATATGGAGAGGGAAAGTGAAGCAATGGCTGCAGTGTTTCCCACGGGATGGCTGCTGCTCGAGATACGTACGCACATTCCCACTATCCTTAGTAACTGCGGTGCGACGGTACCGGTAGCTAGTTCAATAAAAGATATTGCGGTACAGTATGGAAGGGCAGGTCTTTGATTTCAATGATCAAGCTGCTCTTAACGTCCAATGCAATGATACCTGCAAATGTCTCTTTGAGGATTTTGTCAATATCATCAAGAATGATCCTTTCCTGGAAACAACGGTAGACGACTTGTGCTGGGAAGAGTATGAAGTGACCTGGCTGGCAGAATATGGATGTGCCGTCTTGGTACAAGAGATTGATTGCATGACCAACAGCATCCTCGTGGTCGGCCTGGATGGATGGAAGACTCGAATCCATGCGTCGGTCCCTGCTGGACGTCAAGTCACGGCAGTTCCTGACTTGGCCAATCCTGCCATTATGGAAGTGGGCAGTATCCCAGCAGATGGAGTATCTGATCAAGTTCTCCAAGCATTGAAGGACAAACTCAAGTCGACACAGCGTGAACGCTCCAGACAGAAGAACCACAAGACACCTTCCTTTGTGTGGTCCAAAATTATAGATGTTCTGGTAGAAGAAAATCATATCTCGCAAATGGATCGAGAGGTCATGCAAGAATGCTACCAGGGAGGTACCACGGATGTAGGAAAACACACAGATTGCTTGGCTAGAAACACTTCCTTTCCACTGGTGGCATCAGTCTATGCCGCCATGCTCACCCTTCAGGGCCACGACAAGCACTGTTTCTATCAAGCACTGTCCGTATACTACTTGCATCATTTGAAGAACATCACACACAAAATCACAACCTTTGATCGACGCAAAATTGACCGTGGTATCACCGTCATTCGAGAAATCAAGGAATGTTTATCCTCCGTCAACAGTGACGAATTCTATGACAATGTAGTGGATCAAGTGGAAGTGTGCTATAAACAGTTCACTGCCCTAAAGCCCCATGTGGATCCAGTCATCACCAACTTGCCAGAGGATCTTTCCATTGCACTTGGGAATGATGCATGTCAACGTACGCCTTTCCCGCATGGGAACGAACGGACGGAACCCGAAAGTGGGTTCATCGAGCTTTATTTACGTTCTGTCCGTGCTCGGGAACGTGCCAAACAAAGCTTAGAGTGGTCAGAAGTTGATCATTATTCTTTTGGTAGTACCAACGATACCCAGCAAGACTGGTCTGGTCTAGGATGGATGAGCCCCACATTTTGGCAATTCGCTCGAGATTTGAACAATCCAAAGGCACATGAGACTGTAAAGAATCTTGGCAATTGGTTGAATGCCTACGACCATGCGATCAGTGCCGTGATGGTTGCATCCAAGGATTGCCGTCATACCATGGCAGTCGAGTTGAGGAGCTTGGGGATGCTGACTACGTGGATTGTTTATTGCTGGGCGCATCGAATAGCAACGGAACGATATCCAGTGCTCCTCAAGTACTCTGCGGCCCTGGACCCAAAGGATCTTTCTCATTTGGTGTTGAGAGAAAAAGAAGCCATTGACGCTTCGAAACAAGTTAGAATTTTCCTTGAGAACCACAGGAAGAGCGACAAATACCCGTTCCGCAATCGGGAAGACACACTAAATCTTGCCCTGGCTGTTGGAATGGCATCGGAAGAGCTGCAGCAAAAATACCGTGAGGAGCATGCTTCTGCTACGCTTCAAATTGTCAGTCGCTACAACCGCATAATGTGCTCACAAGCTCAACTCCGGACTCTCGACTCTCAGCTGAATGTTTCGAAAGAAATCCTCAGACGGGCAAGAAAAGCCCAGGCCGTTTCCGAACACCGAGATTGTTACTACGATGAAGACCATTGGGGTCACCAACGAAAGCGCTACACCCGCGAGTACTACGACTGTCAACGCGCGACGGAGGCTGCAGAACGAAAGGTGACTGACTTGCAACAGCAGATTCGCGTGTTGGAAGAAAAACCTCCAGATCTGTTCCTTTGTCTACCACGGAGCTATGACAAAGCCTTGCAATGGTTGTTTTTCTTGTACATGCCACGAGAATTCGGCGACCTAGTCTCTCTGGTACATCGTGGCGCAGCAAAACTCTGGGCCAAGTTACCAGCTCCTGACCAAGATGGGGACGCGGATCTGTTTGAATGGTTTGTAGAACACAAATGCGAGTTGGAAGATCCTGTCTCCCCCGAGACGATGGTGTTGGACACTTCGTCAGTAATGGAGACTTCGCCCTTAGTCCGAGGAATCGGCATTCGAGGTTTTGAAAAGGAAACTGGAGTGTTTTTTCCGGACGTATACGGCATTGTACCACGTTGGAAAGATGCAGATCCGTTTGCGAGCGACCGCAGCTCTGCTGATACAGTACGGTTGTTTACAGAGACATTGCCGAAAGAGGAGGGCTGTGGTCTTCAACAGTATCTGGCCATGTCGCCCAGCTCAACAAGAGGCAATCAAGGGATTGCTTCCAAGAATCGCAAACCAGATTGGCTCACGCATGAAGCGTTCATGATGTTTACTTCATTACGCGCTTTCCCAAACTTGCAAATTCGACACTTACTTGTCGCCATGGTCGACAACCTGCTCCCTTTTGAGAAGACCTGCGTCCACGTAATTGTACGTCAGCTACTGTTCCATGTGGGCGAAGAAAAGTGGAAGACGGACTTGGAATCTCCTGGCGTTCTTGAGCGGATCGCTGAGCAGTTGAACCGACATGCAGACCTCCTGCAAGAGTCTCCCAACAATGCAGATAGATTACTCCTGTTTGGGACTGTCAGCTCCTTTTTCGGGCAATATCATGAAGGCTGTTTAGAATGCTCGCGAAGGTACACCGACATCTGTCGTTCGCTTGCCGACGGAATGGAACAGGAGCTGCGGAGTTACGACAAGGCACCACCGAGCCTCTACTGGAAGCAGGCCAAGTTGTATGCATGCGCTGTTCTGTGTCACTCGCTTGCTGACGCATCGCAGTCATCGTTGCTGCACATGGCAGAGTTGATCTTCCTGTTCCGACAGAAGAAGCAGTTTGCTGGGAAGGTTTCTGGTAGCTCGGAGCTGGATAATCCTGTACAGTACCTGATGGGCAAAAAGATTCGTCCCATCATCTCTGCGATTGAGAAGAAGCTGGACAGACTTTCAAAATGCCTGGGGTTGATTGTCGATGACGTTTCGTCTGATCTGGCCTGGACCGCAGTATCATACGAAGACGTAGCATCCACAGCCTGCTTTGAATCCAACGACGGCAAACACCATTACTCCATCAACGTGCTCAATGGAAGGGTGCTTGTGGATGGCGTTCCACCAGGTTTTCTACCTTCCTCTGTTTTGATAGATCCACTCTACCAAAGAACCTTCGGTCGACGGAATTTTGAATGCATAGTGGTTGGCGAGTCACACTTTCGAAGTTCCAAGCTTGTCGATGGGCGGTGCCGATACGACTTCAAGGTTCAAGGCGACAGCGTTTGTATCACAGAATATGAGAAGTCTAGGCATGATCGTAGGCTAGAGAAACCCAGCAACCGAGGATCGATGTGCGGCAGAGAAGACAGCATCCCTTGCGTCGGGCGGAGCGACGATTCAATCGATTCCGGCGACTCACCCCAAGAGAGTACGGAGTCAACATTCCAGTTGCGGCTTGTACCCAGGGAGAGTTTCAGCTTGCCAGCACTATTGTTGGAACCGTATAGCCACTGGTACTCACAGTCTCTGGACGCTGCGTTTGTTCGGGGAGCTTCGTACACCAACAGAGATATCCACTACGTGATCACACGAGAAGCCATTTACCGCGTGAGGGACGATGATGTCAGCTTGTCTGCCACATCAATCTTCGAGAACATTGGCGCCTACGAAACACTGGTCGAGCCCAGTCGTCTTCTAGCCCTACGTATCTTGAGTCGCATCGAAAAAGCTGAGTACGTTCTGGCGTGGAGAAGTACAGATTGTCAGAACATTGTCTTCCAGCTACCACGTCTTGAACTGGAGTTTTGCCAAAGAGACAGTGGCATTGCCTCGGTCAACTTCAAGGGATTTGAGATGCGAAGGAGACAAGCATTGGATTGTTGCTTGCCCGGAATTAGATCTTTCCTTGTTCTGGTTGACCGTCACGGAAACGAGAAAGTCCTGATTCCGGCTGGAGAGGTTGAGCTTCATGGAAACATTCACGTTCCTAAAGGATGGGTTGTCAAACGGCAGTGCCATATTTTTGACGTGCACCGGAGATTTGGTCACCTCATCGCCACAGATATTCTTGCGAGGCTGCAAATTGCGGCGGTATACGCAGCTACAGGATACAGCGTGGCAGACATTCAGTCCAAGCAGACAGGAGAGGAAATCGCGATGGATCTTGTTAGACAATGCTGGACAAACGAAATGCTACCTGAACCAGTCAAAGCAAAGCTTCAGGAAGTGTCGCAGTTAAGCACGTTGTCTTGTTCATTGCACCTTATGTGTGCTTGGATATGGAAGTGCTCTGAGAGACTGAGTTTCCTACGGGAGGGTTGGACCCCTCCCGAAGACCAGACTTCCGAATTCTTACTCGAGCTAGACCCCCTTGCGGTGCGCGAGTATCGCCAGGACGGATACCACTCACGACTCCTGCCGTCCGAGGAACGCTTCCTTCTTGGGAGCCGACAGAAGCCTGCATTTGATTTGGATGTAATGGCTCCATCAACACCAACAGATGAAAAGTTTGTCGATGAGGTGGAAAAAGAGCTGGCAGCAACACTGTTGGTCAAGACACCTTCGACAAAGACGAAAGCAAGGTTTCCCCTCAACTTTAGAAAGGGGAAACCGAATAGTTTGGAAAGCCACATTCACTTGGATTTGAAATCAAGTTGGAATGACTTGAAATCCCTTTCAACAACCACGGTCGCCCGAGACAAAGATTTCTGTGTTGAGAAGCTACAATTAGTTTCCAAGCGACGCGTGAATGCAGAAACATCGATCTTGACAGCTCTATCGAAGTGCAGTTCCTCGAAGTTCCGTCTGTGCGTGATGTCGGGTTCAGTCAGAAGTTCAAGCAATCTAGATATCCCACGGATTGCTCTTGCTGAGTCTTCTTTCCAACAAGTAAATCCTTTCATCACCGCCAAAGATCGCATGGATCTGAGAGTAAAGGCTGTTGAATGGATGCTTCTTTGCGTTCTGGAAGACAAACTCTGCAGACTCACGGAGACATCAAATGACCACACGGTGCTAGAAGAAGTCGCAGCAGTGCGCAACTGGAATCCGTGGAGCCACATACGATGGCTTGTATTTGAAGTTGATAGAAGGATACAGATTAGGCCTTACCAATACTCTGTTGTGCGGCAACTGCTTGAGAACCCTTGTTCCATGACGCAGCTCAACATGGGTTTGGGGAAAACGAGTGTTCTGGTTCCCATGCTCATACTTGAGCTTTCCAGGCGAAAGGAGTGTGTTGTCCGCATCAACATGCTTTCGTCCGTCATTGATGTCATGAAGGAAAGCTACAGGCTAAGCTTGACAGCTTCGATTCAACATGTCAAAATATTCTCTTTGCCATTTCAACGGAATTTCGACCTCGCTCCTGCTTCCGAAAAGATGATCTCGGAAGAGATTCTTCGTGTGAAGGAATCTGGAGGGTGTCTGCTGGTGACGCCCCAGCAACGAAATTCTCTTCTCCTGAAGCAATATGATTCGAATACCACAGTGAGAGGCCTCGAAAATCCATTCGTTGATGTGATTGATGAGAGCGACGCTATCTTGCACCAGTCTTTTCAGTTAGTGTATGCACTTGGAGATCAAGAACCATTGGTCGATGGCCAGGCACGCTGGACGGTGGCAGAGACATTCCTTCAAATACTAGCAGGAAGCAATTGTCAGGAGATATCGCGGGTTCGGCAAGACCCCACCTTGATGCACTCGGAACCTTCGGAAAATGGTGAATTTCCCAGACTTCGTTTACTGCAAAAATTCAAAGAACAACAGAAAGCTCTTGGCAGGGCATTGTGTAGAGAACTCCTCTCGAATCCGCCCCACTTGTTTCTATGGATGAAGCAGGTAGTTGGTGCTAAGAGAGATGAGTTGGTTGCGCTGATGACAAACGCAAACATCTCGGCCTTGGGGCTAATTGAATCAGATCCCCTGTTCCGAAAGTACAAGACGGACATCATTGCCGCGCGCGGTTGTATAGCCTACGGATTGCTTTTCCATTGCCTGAAAGCAAGGCACAGAGTCAACTTTGGGGTTGACGGCCAACGCAAAAAGATGGCTGTTCCGTTTTCCGCAAGCGACACTCCCAAAGCCCGTGCTGACTACAGCCACCCCGATGTCGCAATTATTTATACCTGCCTTTCCTATTTCTCTGCGGGTCTATCTCTCCAGCAACTGAGAGATGCTTTGAATCGGCTAAAGAATCTGGGACCAACTGCCCAAGAAACAATTTACAGGTGAGTCCACCCATCACGAGGTCATTATGACGCTGCTCACATCGTCGCATTTCTGCATTTCCCAGGTCATGGATTGAAGACTTAGCCAGTAAGCAGAGCTCCACAAATGCCACAGACATTGCCAGATTTGACTCGCACTTGAAAGTGGACACAGAAAACACAGCCCAAATTGACCTTATGTACTCGTACTTGGGTCGCTCCATGAAAGTCGTTTCATTCTGGATGAACAACTTTGTGTTTCCAGCTGAAACACACGTGTTTCCTGGGCGCAGAGTCACTTCAGCTTGGGACTTGGTCAGCAAAGGCAACTCCATTGGGTTTTCTGGCACTGATGATAATCGTCTCTTGCTGCCACGATACGTGCAACAGAGAAAGCAGGCCGTTGCTGAATTGCGAGCTACTAATGCTAAGATGATTGACTGCATCTTGCAACGGACGCGTTCTGTGCAAGTAATTTTGGGCGACGACAACCTAGAGGAGTGGAAGTCGGTGCTACACAAATGTATGGAGCTGGGTACACAGGCATTACTTGATGTTGGAGGGTTGATGGCCGGGGTCACAAATGGAGACGCCGCAACCTTCTTGGCAAAAATTCTTGATCCTGCCGAGTTCAGAGGGGTGGTATTTTTTAACCGAAAGTTTCAGTGCTGGTGTGTTCTTGAGCTCAAGACGGGTACAAACCGTTCTTTGCAGACATCTTCGGTTCAGGCATCAGAGTGCTTTGCCTTTTATGATGAGAGCAGATGCCGTGGACACGATTTGAAGCTGAGGCTGGACACATGCGCTCTCGTTACACTGGAGCCACGCCTTACCAAGGACAGGTTTCTTCAAGTAAGTAAAGTTTTTTCTGTGCCATGCGCATCTGGACCCCATCACGTTTGCAACACATGGCTAACGAGTCGAGTCGCTTTTGGCTACACATCCCAGGGGTGTGCGCGGCTACGGCAGTTGCAGAATGGACAGTCTCTCATCTTGGCAGGCACAACAGAAACGTTGTCAGATACCAGCACAGCGAAAGATGTGCTCGAAATGATAATCGAGAACACAGCATCTCAGATTCAGAAGGGGGTGATTGAGCTGTTTGAACGAGGCACGAATCATTTTCAGTTTCCCAAACAGCAGCATGTTGACGTGTCCCTGGAGACGTTGTATGCTGGTGAAAAGTCGAAGTACGGTAGCATGTCAGAGTACCTTGATGCGACAGTTGAGGTTGAAGGTTGCAAACTAGAAAGGGAAGAAGTCGATCTAATCCAGCATTGCCGAAAACTCGGGGCAGGGATCACTGTCGAGGCGTCACAACTTTCAGAAGAATGTGAGCGGGAGCTTGAGAACGAGGAAGAAGCAGAAGAGGAAGAAGAGGTGGACCGATTGATCGCCATACCTTTTGCTGAGCGTGACTGGAATTTTGATAATGCCTTTCCACGAGCTCAATGGATGACCGCGCCTATCTTTAGAGTGAGGGACGTTATTGCAGATTTGCTGGGACCGCCGATGAGCAACGTAATCTGGAGTGACAAACTGCGCTGCACTGCAAATTGGCGCCACACAATAGAAACATTGGGCAAGGGACGCTTCTTTCTTCGACCTGTCAATGCCTTTTTGGCACTCTGCGATGGTTCCATTTTACTGATATCAGACTACGAAGCTGACAAGCTCTTGCCGTATTGGTGGGAGCATCGGGGTTTGAATTGCGAAGTGAAACTATGTCACCTTCCTCTGGTTGTGTCCAAGATCAGTCTAGGATGTGATGAGGTCACGCTATCCACGGAAGTTCGAACAGCTGCAAAGCTCTTTCGTGGTTACGTTAACTACGATGCAGAAGAGAAGAAAGCATTGAAATCTATGTTTGTGAAAGCTGAAGTACGAGCGACCGTACTTGAGTTGCTGCAGCTACGACACAGGTTGAGGTTCCTGGAACGCAGCGATCTGGATGTGCTCTCACTGGCCATCGATGAAGCCGCCAACGTTGGGCAGATGGGTTCGCCGTCGTGTTCTATAGCTTCGACCCAACCGTTTGTTCTGCCCAAGAAGACGGTGCCCAAGAAAAGAGTGACCATTCGAGCTGGTTTGGGACCCCAAGCTCACCCGTTCGCCGTGACAATGGTGCAGGATGGCGTGAGCACAGTTGCCATGCATTCGATATCAGCAATGGCTGAGTTCGAATCGAAGTCGTTTGAAGAACTTCGCTTTGAGCAATACCAACCCAGGCAACTAGCAGCACACTTTGTATTCCCAACATCCCCCGTGTTGAATCTTCTTGGCAAACCACAGACGACAACTGCATTTGAGTCTCCAAAGTGTGTGTTCAGAGCTTCAGCTTCCACACAATCTTCATTGTCGGCAACATCGACCAAGAATATGTTGAGCCAGTCAGCTCCATTCGTTTTTGGAAAGGCAGGATTGGACTCGCGTCCTCTCACCGAGCATGCTGGGAGTATGACTGAGATCAATGAGACTGAGGTGAACTTTGGTCTAGGGACTGCTCCAAAGAAGAATTCAAGCGGAGAAGGCAATCGAGCTCGAAAGGCAGTTCGTTTTCTCGAACCAAAGCGTTGTACCACTGGGGACAAGGAACGTTTTGTTTTTGGGCAAACAGAGCGGGAGGCTTCAGCCAGCGAAAGTGATGGCGCTAAACGCCGTGGTGTGTAGATCAAAATGTTGTGGAGGGAGATGGATTTTGGATTTTGCTGGGTGCAGGGAGATAGTAGCTGAACTCTTGATGCTAAGAATCTTTGTCCCTGACTTCCAATCGATTTGTAGAAAGGTGGAAGATAGTTAGACTCTTGTTTTCATAGCTGCTTGCTTGCCCGCCGTCGGGGTCTCTTTTCCCAATGCCGGCCTGGCTACCGGTACCGATTAACGGAGAGTTAGGCACCACTACCAAGCTATGGACTATTGCACGTCCCTTGGCCCACGCGCCCTTGAGCGGAAGTGCATGATGGCGTGTTAGTAACGTAGCGGTTGCTACCCGAGCTGGGAAGTATGCTACTAGCAGACTAGGTAACGGTATATCCCGAAGCCCGGCAAGTACCGGTACATGCAGCAATTCCCTTCCACTCGACCGTCGTCGTGTACCTTTATCGCTATCATACTACATGTAACTACATGTACATGTACATGTACAGTAAACTTCTCAATCGAATGTTTATCGTACCGATACCGGTACCGGTACCTGGTACAGCTCTGGTACACTGGTGGGATGATTCATTCAGCTATTCATTCATTCGTTCCAATACTAGCTACTTGTAGAAAGTGCTACTCAGCTACTGGAGTACTCAATATGCATAATAGACAGGGGGTAGAGAGCACTACATACAGCCTGTGCATATGAACAGGGAGGAAGCCCGCAGATTGAGAGCAAGGCCAGCCATTTTTTTGGCCTGAATTCAAAAACGTCCATTTCCTGTGCAATTGAACAGGATAGCGACGCCTGTTCAATTGCACAGGGCCTGCCTGTTCATATGCACAGGAGGCTGTACATATATACAGGAGCTCGACGTCCTGTTCAAATGCACAGGAATTGTGACGCTTTTTTCTGGGTAGGCTTTCTCATTACTCAACAGTAACACATAGATCTGCCATTACGTTCAGCATTACAGTCAAGCATGTCCTCTGTGTTCAGTCAAGCTGATGATCAACTCTCCTCTGGAGCGTTCCTCGATCGTGCATGACTTTAAATCCGACCCTAATTTAGGGTCGGTTTGGGGGAATCCGTCCCTAAATCGTAACCTGACCCTAAATTAGGGACAGTTTTTCAGAAACCATCCCTAATTTTAGGGTCGATTTCGAAACCCGACCCTAAAGGGAATCCGACCCTATTTTAGGGTCCGTTTCATGCACGATTGAGGAACGCTCCTGCTATCTCGCAGGCTGAGGTATGGACGTCTTCACCTGTAATGATTCAAGTAGCCAACGATGGAGACAGAAAGGAAATCAATCTTATTCCAACACTCGGTCACAATACTCGCAACCGATCGGAGCCCATGCTATTGTGCACTGGCTCCCAAAGGAATTCTCTACCAATACTGCTGAGTTTCGCACTAAAACGCTTGCACCATATTTTGTCAACGCTTGTCGTGCTTCTGGCTTTGTTGTACGACTCAGGGGATTCGGGAAATCAAAAGATATTGCCGCCTTCAACCAGCATGCAGAAGCACGTCCGATTTCCTGTGCAATTGAACAGGAGATCGGATCCTGTACAATTGCACAGGAATCACGTCACCTGTACAATTGCACAGGAACCGCGTCGCCTGTCAGGCCAAAATTTGACTGCAGGCTGGCTCTCTAAAAATCCTGTTCATATGCACAGGCTGTATGTAGTGCTCTCTACCCCCTGTCCTAGAAAGCGACACTGCAGCTGTTTTAGAACGAGTACATTGACCCTTAAGGCTTAGTTCACCTTAGGGTAGACTAAGTGACTTCGCTTGAAATTTTAAGTCAGCGGGAGCTGCGATACCTCGGCAGAAAGACAGATAGAAGAAGGAGGATTATGTTCGGATTGCACCCATCTTTCAAGCTAGCCCTGGCGACAACACCCGACTACGTCGTGTGTTGCCGCCTGGTATCATTCATTCCCTCATTGCAACCTTCTTTTATTAAGCTAGCCCTGGCGACAACACCCGACTACGTCGTGTGTTGCCGCCCGCTACTCTATAGTTTACCAGCTGCCATTCCCTTATTGTAACTCTAACCTTTACAGATCCTGCTGGCTTATTGTGCTGTTGTGCTGATTGCACTAACCTTAAATATTAATGACTTATTCCTACCCCTAACTTGTATTGAACCATCAATGTTCAGTTTTGTTGGCTTATGACTATCTCTATCCTTATACTTTGGCTTCACCGGAATAGGAAATAGGAAATAGAAAATAGGAAATAGGAAATAGGAAATAGCATTAAAGGGGTTGAGAACTCAGGCAGTTTACCTGCCGAGGTTAAGAAAGTTTGAAGTTGGCGTTCTCTTTGACACTCAGTCGCGCAAGATATCATGAAATCTCAAACGCTTTGAAGTTTGATTTTCTACTGAGTTTTTGATTTCGTTCCTTGCTTCTACACAATACACAAACAAACAGTTTTTCCATTTGCACTACGCTAAAAGCTAGTGTAAAGATCTTTCGAGTGTTTTGAGTTTGAGAGAATGAAAGTTATGAGAGAGATTAGAAAGCTACGAAAACTAATCCATGAGAGAGATCGTTGTGAAGCTCATTGAAGTTGGTCTCCGGCGGGAGGCCTCGAAGTGTGATATCGTAGGTTATGGCAATAACTCTACGTACTCCACGGTCCATTTCCGGAACACGTGGAAACTTCAGCTAGTAGCTGTCTAGTAGCGTGGAAGCTTTCCACGCCGGCTAAATATCTAGAGCGATGTTTCATCGACAACCTAGTATGACTAGCAGTCATGAGAACCCTGTCTCAATGACTATTCGCGAAGGACTACGTCATGAGTCGAACTCAAACCCTATCTAGGATCGAGTCGCGAATAAGGCTAAGAGCCGTGTATTGCATTCGCCCCCTGACAAGGGTCACAGAAGGCGCGACATCAGTCGGACAAGGAGAACATATGAATTAAAGTGCGGGGCACTCTCCGGAGATTGGATGTAGACATGTGCGTCGCACGATGGCAATCCTACAAGGGGATCAGGCCTTGTATGGGTGTAAATACCTTATGTTCCAAGTCTGGTAGACTGTGCCGCTATTGGCGGTAGCATGTCAGAGCCGTACGGTGCCATTGTTATTGACTCGGTCTTTATTGTGAGGACCTTCGTACTTTGGCTGACCGTACTTGCGGTGCTGATACTGTTGAAACCTCACGGTATCGTTGACATTGTATTGATGAGGGACACGCGTCGCGTTTCCCTTCTCATTGTTTTTCTGGATGAGTCGTTGGCGACGCTCTTTGATGTGTTTCCAGTTTACTTCGAAACGGACGTTGTGAACACGTGTGATAATGAACTTGCGACGAAGTCCATATTCATTCCGGAGAGTCTTCTCGACTTCTGCGCGGAACTCACGTTCTCTGTCCATGATAACCTCAGAAGGCCATGGATACTGAGTGAGCCACGTCTATTCGAGAACAATGGCTATTTCGTCTGCTGCGTTGGAGCAGATCTCGGTAATCTTAAACCATTCGGTTACGGGATCAATCATTGTCAAGCAATGAAATGGACAGGGATTCCTTTTCTTGGGATCCTTGACGTTATATGTACATGTGATCTTCTGATCCATATGTCTCGATAGTAGTTCACTAGTCCAATGAATCTACCAAGTTTCTTCCTGTTCGTAGGAGGAGCGATATTCTGGATCGCGTCTATTTTCTTGGTTACGGGTGGATTCCTTCTCAAGTAATCCAGTAGCCTAGATATTCAAGTTCTCTTCTTTCGAAGAAGGACTTGGTAGTATTGATCCTAAGTCGGAACTTCATCTAACTATTCAACGTGATCCACTAGATCGCCGTTAGTTAGGATGAGTTGATCATCAACGTATGCACGGACATTTTCCAAGTCGTGCATGAGTGTTCCCATCTTCCTTTGGAAGATGTCGGGACTATTGCATAGGCCCATTGGTACTCGCTGGTGCTCGTATTTCCTGAATCTGTCTAGATTCAGTAGCATGTCTTGTATCCTTGGGATCGGACGAGGTTTTTGCTCAATCCTTTTGTTCAGTTCCCGGACGTCAGAGATGAACCGTATAGATCCATTCTTTTTGGGAATGATAAATGTTGGTGCCGTCCACTCGGAACGGTTTACCGTCTGTGCTCCTGCGTCGCAGAGACGTTCGACCTCTGTCGTAAGAGTGTTGGTATGGACACGTGGAGTAGGATAAGTCCTAGTGTGATAGGGTTTAGCGTCAGGACGAAGTTCTACTTCGTAGTCGTCCATTTGTCGCTTTCCTAAAGTACCTTCGAATTGGTCGGAGCACTTGGTCAATAAGACATGAAGTGATTCCTGCTCTTCCTTAGGATTGCTATCTTTCATAGGCAGGGAAAGATGTGCTATTCCACTTCGCTGACGGGGTAGTGAAATCGAATTTGATTCTTAGATCGGAGAGAAAGTCTCGACCTATGATCATGTCATACGCCCCCAAGTTCTTGGTGGCGTGCAAGTTCCATTCAATAATTCTATCATCGTGGAACTCAGGAGTCATAAGTGCACCCTTACACTTCGTGCTGGGGTTCAATTCCTTTACAGGGGTAGTCCATAGTGTTTGGACGCCCCCATGATCCTTCATGCTTAATCTTTTAGCATGAATTTGGGTAATCACGGTTCCGGATGCTCCTGTATCCAGTAAGCAACGGAGTGTAACGGGTTTTTGTTTCCCTTTTTCTCGTCTGTTAAATCTAACATAGACGATAGTTTTGAGGTCTCTTGTCTTGCGACGTTGACGAGGTGGTTGGCCACGGACGAGGTTGACAATGCTGGATAGATCGTCAGAATCTAGTTGAGCAGCTTCTAGGCAATTATCTAATTTGCCGTAGACTTCGTCAGTTGCAAACAATTCTTGTTTACTAGTTAGTGAGATATCTTCATCACTTAGGTATGAGAAATCGGAACATGGTTCCGTTGAATCATCATCCTGGCCTAATCCTCAGACGGAGATCTCTCCATCTGAATGATTGAAGTCGAAGTCTGCAAGAGCCTTGTCGACTGCAGCCATTTTCTTGTCCGTCATGTTGAGGGACCCGACAGAGGAGTCATCCTCGTTGTCAGAGTCGTCCGACTTGCGTTTGGCAACATGGTTGCATTCGCTTTTCTTCTTGCGATCCGCCTTGACCGCAGCGTTGGAGACTTTCTTCATAAGGACCGAAAGTTCCTTTTTGGTGTAGGACTTGGCGTCGTCAGACTTGCGTTTCCAAGTCTTGTTCTTGTTGTACGCTGGCTTGCTATCGTTGTCAGACGAGGACTTGGCTTTGAGTTTCTTCAGAGTCATGCAATCAGCAGTATTGTGAGTGCTGGACTCGTGGTAATCACACCACTTTTCTTCGCTCTTGGAAGAATGGTCGTTGTTGCGAGTAGACTTGTACTTCTTGCTGTTGTTCTTCTTCGAAGGAACTTGCTTGGCATCACTGCCTTTGTCAAAGTCTTCGGCGGATTCCATGCGCTCACAGAATCCAATGAGCGCTGCCATCTCGGCAGTGAAAGGATCGAAGTCGTCGTCCATCTTGCGCATCCAGGAAAGAGGAATGCCATGACAGATGATGTCGATGAATTCGTCCTGGTTCAACTGTTGATTGACACCGAAAGGTGGCAAACGTGGAAGCTCATCGGTGTTCATCCGAGTGAGGTTGTTGATGTAGGCGCGAGTTGTCATCTCGCTAGGCTTACGCATCTTGCGACGCATGAAGCGTTTCTGTTTTTCGAGAGCCTTGTAAGGACAGGCTGCTTCGATAACCGCGTTGATTCCAACGGTGATGTCCTCATCGCTTAGAGCGGGTTCCGCTGCACCGTCCCATGCGGCTTGAACACGAGCTTGGAATTGGACTTCGGTTTCTCCAGAACCCACGTCGCGTGGAGCAACTGCGTTTACAGCAATTTGTCGTAGGTTGTGGTGACGCACGGCACGATGGCCTGCACACCCAGCTTCGTAGGCACTCTTTGCAGAGCTGGAAGTCATCTCCTTGAGAAGGCGATGTTTGTCGTCGGCATTGGCAAGGTTGAGTCCAACGAAGACCTTCTCCATATTCGTAGCCCACTTGATGGTCTGACGCGGAGTGTTGGAACCATTGATAATGGCTACCTTGAAGGTATATTTGGCACTGTTTGCATCTGCAGGAACGGTGCGAAGTTTATAGGTGGTTGCACGAGTATCGTCGATCTCGGCTTCTTCATCGTTGTCCACGAGAGGAAGAATGGGTTTGTCACGCAACTGTTTCTCGAAGTTGGTGAACGCATGCTTTCCTTGAGCAATCTTCATGATGAAGGAATAAGTTGAGGGTAGCTGAAAGCTATTGTGTTTGTTAACAAAATGCACTACGCTAAAAGCTAGTGTAAAGATCTTTCGAGTGTTTTGAGTTTGAGAGAATGAAACTTATGAGAGAGATTAGAAAGCGACGAAAACTAATCCATGAGAGAGATCGTTGTGAAGCTCATTGAAGTTGGTCTCCCGCGGGAGGCCTCGAAGTGTGATATCGTAGATTATGATAATAACTCTACGTACTCCACGGTCCATTTCCGGAACACGTGGAAACTTCCGCTAGTAGCTGTCTAGTAGCGTGGAAGCTTTCCACGCTGGCTAAATATCTAGAGCGATGTTTCATCGACAACCTAGTATGACTAGCAGTCATGAGAACTCTGTCTCAATGACTATTCGCGAAGGACTACGTCATGAGTCGAACTCAAACCCTATCTAGGATCGAGTCGCGAATAAGGCTAAGAGCCGTATATTGCACAGGAGTAGCACCAGTTCATGCCGGCAACGCAACCCAAGCACAAATCACCGAAACCAACCGTCTCTACATAGCATCTGAGACCAGGTTCTTCATATGCAGAGCCACCGAAACTGCTCTACGCAAACAACTCCTTGACGACATCCCCGACACCTTCACCAAAGCATTGAAGCATGAGATGTACGGATATGCCCAGCTCACAGTCATTCAGGTACTTACCCACCTCGACACCACCTACGGCACTGTTGACGCCTTCGACCTTGCGCACAACTTGAAAAGGATGAATGCAACTTGGAGCCCCTCTCAACCCATCGAAGATCTCTGGAATCAGATCAAGGATGCCCAGAAATTTGCAGCCGACCATGATCCAATCACAGATCAATACGCAGTCCGCTCTGCCCTTGAAAACCTTGAGAACAGTGGAATGTTCACGGATTCCCTCCGCGATTGGCGAAAGCCCACCATCGCAGCACAGCAATCATTTGCAACCATGGAAACCCACTTCACCGCGGCTGACAAAGAAAGACGCAGAATCCTTACTTCCAAAGGAATGGGATACGCTAACAAAGCTACCGAGGCTAAAAGCAACAAGGACTCCCCCGCCAGCACCAAAGGAGACAAAAACGGCGTCCCCATGTACTACTGCTGGTCGCACGGATTAGGACCAAACGGCAACCACACCAGCGCGAGCTGCTCCAAGCCAGTCACAGGACACCGCAAAGATTCTACTGCGGATAACATGCTAGGTGGGTGCTGTCAGATCCATCGCAAGGCCGGAGAAAGGGCCATCTACCGACGCCCACAGAGGCCCAATCGCGACAATGACGAAAATCAGCCACCTGCTGACCCAGCTCAAGGATGAGCAAGACGGGAGCCCTTCACACCAGTATTAGTAACACGTAATGAAAACAACAACCAAACATCTCATGTAGAGTCTAAAAACCCAATATAGATAAGAAATGTTTAAAAGAAAAACCAATACAATCGAATGGTCCCCAGCAATCACATCTAGATGCACCACCCAAAACGGGACAGATAGCCACGGCCACACCGCTAGTCGCAGATACAGGCAGCACCGGACACTTTCTCTCTACCGAATTCATAGCCATCAGCAATGAAAGCATTATCAACATCCAACCAACCAACGACCCAATCCGAGTCATTTTATCAGACAATACCGTCATCATATCAACCAACACCTGTCAACTGGACCTACCAAGCCTACCGCCATCAGCAACCAAGGCACACCTATTCCCATCCATGGGCACAACCTCACTACTATCAATCGGTCAACTTTGTGACGCAGGATGCGAGGCAATCTTTCGCGCACACGAGTGCCTAATCTCTTTCATGGGAGATACAATCCTCACCGGCAATCGCAACGTCCACACGAACAAGCTATGGGAAATCGACATCAGCAATCAAACCCAACACTCCTCCAACCTCATGGCAACCACACCATCGGCAACTCCTGCCGACATCGTAGCATTCGCACATGCAGCTCTGTTCTCCCCCATTCCATCTACCCTGACAACGGCTTTAAAGAACAAATACATCCACAATATGCCAGGCTTAACCACGGACACGTTTAACAAATACACACCGAACTCAATAGCCACTGCCAAAGGACACATGGACCAACAAAGGCAAGGAATCCAATCAACGAAACAGGAACCAGAGCCGCTGCCACTACTACCTGAGCACGACGACGCATTTCCATCCCAAGAAGAACCCACAGAACAAGTAGCCCTACAGCAAGCTTGCTATGCCACGGTCATTCAACCAACAGGGAAAACATTCTTGGACCAAACAGGACGCTTCTGCACTTCTTCATCCCATCCAGCGCCGGTAACAACTACCTATTCATCCTATACCACTATGACAGCAACTCCATTCACGCTGAACCCATGCAGAACCGATCCGCGAAATCCCATGTTAAAGCTTGGACAACAATCCACAACCAGCTTGTACGTGCTGGGCTATGGCCCAAGCTCCACATGCTGGATAATGAGTGCTCGCAACAGCTTCGTGACCACATTAACAGCGAAGGAATTGCCATCCAAACGACACCTGCAGATTACACAGACGGAATGCAGCAGAGAGAGTGATCCAAACTTACAAAAACCACCTCATAGCTGGTCTCTGCACAACCGACACCAACTTCCCACTCCACTTATGGGACAAACTCATCCCACAGTGCACCATCACCCTCAACCTCCTCTGAGGATCCCGAATCAACCCCAACCTCTCAGCCTATGCACAAGTCTTTGGAACATATGACTTTATGGCAACACACATTGCCCCTCCAGGCATTCATGTTGTAGTCCATGAGAAACCTGCTGAAAGAGCCACGTGGGCACCGAAAGGCAAAGATGGTTGGTACACCGGCCCCGAGTTAGAGTCTTACAGGTGCTTCAGAACCTGGATATGGGATACCCAACGTGAACGAAAAGCAGACACATTGTCTTGGTTCCCTCAGCGGCTCCAAATGCCTCTGCCAACAGCACTAGACCTTGCAATCGGCGGAATACGCGACATAGCCACAGCCCTCAGCCAACCAACAACCGACCCAGCAGCCCAAACACTCACAGACACAGAAGCTGGAATGCTCCTCGATCTAGCACACATGTTCGATCGCCGATTACACCAACAACTCGAGCCGACCGCGAAAAACAGTACTACGAAATCGAACCACACCGACTACGGCCCATTTCTGAGGGTGCCAGGGGGCGCAAACACGTACGAAAAAAACAACCGACACCGAAAGAAAGCCAAACAGAAAGCGCAACCAGCACCGCCCGGAACACCAACGCCCACGAGCGCCACCCATCAGGCAAATAAAGCGGTCAATCCAGACACAGGAGTCCTCTCGGATTACAAAGTACTCAAACAATCCACAGACGGAGAACACTGGATCAACGCTTGCTGCAACGAAATCGGTAGACTAGCTCAAGGACGCAAAGCAACAGGTCTTAAAGGCACGGGCACAATGCAATTCATCAAGCATACTGATGTCCCAGCCGGACGCAAACCCACGTATCTACGAGTGGTGTGCGATGACAGACCCCAGAAAGCTGAGATTAGACGTGTCTGCTTTACAGTAGGAGGAGACCGCATCGAATACCCCTTCGACGTCAGTACCAAAACAGCATCCCTGACAACAGTAAAGATGCACCTTAACAGCATCATATCCACGGAGGATGCCCGCTTCATGTCAATCGACATCAATGACTTCTACCTCAACACATCCATGGACCGACCCGAATACATGCGGATCCCCGTGGACGTCATTCCGGACGAAATCATGGACCAGTACAACCTCCACAACCTCGTACACAACGGATATGTAATGGTCGAAATCAACCGAGGCATGTACGGCCTTCCCCAAGCTGGAAGAATCGCCAACGATGCTCTTGTCGAGTACTTGGCCATCCACGGATACACCCAATCCAAGCACGTACATGGGCTATTCAAACACACCGATCGTCCAGTCACATTTACTTTGGTCGTAGACGATTTCGGAGTCAAGTATGTGGGCAAAGACAATGCCATGCATCTCAGCGACACACTAGCTAAAGCATACAAGATTACGACAGACTGGGACGGAGCTCTCTATTGCGGCATCCACGTCAAGTGGGACTATGACAATGCAACCGTGGACCTCTCCATGCCAGGATATGTGCAACGAGCATTGCAAAGATTCAACCACTCACAGCCAACCAAACCACAATATGCCCCACACAAGTGGAACATACCACAATATGGCCAACCAATCCAATACAGCGAGCCAGAGGACACGACAACTCCACTACCACCGAGCGGTATCAAGCACATCATCCAAGAAGTGGTGGGAGTCCTACTCTATTATGCAAGGGCTGTAGATTGCACCATGCTAATGGCCCTGGGCGACATAGCATGAAAGCGTTACAGTTCCTCCCACGACTCAGAGTATCCGTGAGTAGATTGAGTCATGCTTTATGGGTCAACACGATGGAACAGAGAACGCTGGCAAGAACAC